AACCTTTTTTTTAAATTTCAAATTAACTCCTTTTAATGTCGAATGAACCATTTTTATTTCAAAATAACCGTTTTAAAATTTAATTTAACTATTTTTCATTTCAAATTACCCGTTTTAAGATCAAATTAGCATTTTTTAATTTTAAATAGCTTTTTTCTTTCAAATTAACCCTTTTTAATTTCAAATTATCCTCTTTAATGCCAAATGAACACTGTATTTCAAATGAACCATTTTTATTTCGTAATAACCGTTTTTAAATTGACGTTAACTATTTTTAATTTCCAATTACCCGTTTTGACATTAAATTAACCCTTTTTAATTTCAAAGTAACCCTTTTTATTTCTAATGAGCCTTTCTTAATTTCAAATTAACCATTTTTAAGTACAAAATGGAACTCATTTTTAACAACAAAATTTCTCTTTTTACTTTCAAATTAACTTTTTATTTCAAATTAACTTTTTTTTATTTAAAATTAATCCTTTTAAATTTCAAATTAACTCACTTTTGAATTAACCGTTTAACTTGAAATTAGCCCCTTTTCATTTAAAGTCAGCCCTTTCAAAGCATTAAACTAATTTATGAAATGACATGTACTTATAAGCATGCAAAATAAAATTCCTATAGATTTGAGAATTTTCGTCGAAATATAAAACAATTGGTCTTTAGACAGAAAATTAATTCAATTAAAAATACAAGTTTTGCAAAATTAAATATAAAATTAAAAGATTAAAAAAAATTTGTAGGCCTTTTTGTAAGGTGTTTTATTTAAATGTTTGTGTCTGTGTTTAAATAGGCCTATAAATAAAAAATTGCGTGTACAAAAAAAGAAGGATAGGAATAAAGAATGTTATTTTAACTTGAGAATTTTTTAAAATATAAACTGGATTTTTATATAATATGTCCCATAAAAATTAATTACTAATAAAAGTAAAAGTTATATTCAATTAAATATAAAAATGAAAGATCCTTTTATTAATTTGAGAATTTTTTAAAATATAAAAGGCCTAGTATCTAAAATGTCACAGCAAAAATTAATTAAAATTAAAATTAAAAGTTTTATAAAATTAAATATAAAAACAAATAATTCTACCATTATTAATACTAGATTTCATTAAAATATAAATAACTTGCTTTATAGACCAATTGTTTTATATTAAAAAAAAGGCAAATAGACAGTAATTTTATTTTACGTGCTTATATTTCACATCATCTAGGCTTTTAACGCTTTAACCCTTTATAGGTCAGAATTCCCCACGATTTTTTTCTAATTTTTTCTGCATAAACCTTCTATTTGGAGTCCAAGAAATAGGTTTCAATAGATTTTAAAATTATTTCGTATCTACTGCAGGTGCAATGAGGTGGTCGCTATACTTGCAACTGTCCACTATAGGCAGTTTTTCCCATTTTTTTTACTACACACTTCTGGCGATAAACCTTATTCCAAACAATAGTTTCATTGATAATAAATATAAAAAATTATAATAGATATTCATAAATTTATTGTAATGATAAGAATTCCTTTTTTTTATTCTTATATTAAAACTTACAAAACTTACTTAAACATAAAACTGGAACAGGAACTGAACCGGAATACGTTCCCCAAATTCGTAAATTTGGATGCTTTGGACATAGTTGTCGTCCTTTCATGTTTTTCCTGCTTTGTCCATAAACGTTTGGTGAAACAGCTAGTTTTTTCCGACTAGTAAATCCTCCGATTAGTTCAGTCGCTAGTTTTGATTTATGAGATGCGACATGGGATTTTATTCGGATAGGCCATCAGAAATGTTTTTTTATGTATGATATAATAGTTGACTTTGGCGGCATTAAGTAAATAAAAAATAGCCTCCATCCACCACCTAAGGCACCATGATAAATTATAACATTCAATAAGTTGATCCAATCGATCCACCCCTCCCACATACTTCTTATAATCCAAAATTCTGGGCAAGCAACTAGTTCAGTCGAACCATCTTTAGTTTTTATTTGTATTAGAATGGATTTGGAGGCGTCATGCATTGCACTAAGCACGGAAACTGATTTTCCACCCCAATCTATCCATTTCACAACAGAAAAATCTCCACTCTGAGCGAAATCGATTTCTCGCCTTTCCATCTCAAATTTTTGGTATAATGCTTTCTGTTGGGGCGTATATTACCAACAGAAAGCGTGTCGTTTTCTAATAATAAGTTGGACAAGGAAACGTCGGAAAAAATATCGTAAAATAAGGAATAACCCTTATTTTAATAGGGAGCTGATAAAGTCATTGCAACATTTTTACGTTGGGGTTCGGGCTTTTTCCCCTCCTTCCCACAGTAAACAGAAAGGTCTAACGCCGTTTGATGGGCTACATCGGCATGTACTACTGCTTGATGGATGACCTCCCCTTTAACCTAACCGTTGACTCATCTACGACAATGTACCAGCTAGGGTCAAACATTTTTGTTTAACCTTTCATTTAAACACGTGTAAGGCCTTATTTTACACAAAACGTCAAAGTCGGGAGTTTTGGTTGTTCAGTAGTATTATTCAATTGAATAAACCAAAAAATTGTCAAAAATCTTTTCAGGGTCATTATGTCCGAGATACGTTCCATAAGAAAGGTCATATAGGCGCCTTATTACTAGACATCAACAAAGCATTTGACTCAGTCTGGTACCTTGGACTAATATTCATATTTATCAAGATGGGCTTTCCGCAGTACTTAGTCAAGATCGTACCTCACCCGACGAAAGTTAGTAATATCAATTCAAGGCGTAGAATCACGGGTTGGTAATGTGGCTGCTGGTGTTCCACAAGTCTCTAAGGGACCTGATCTGTTCCTCATTTATATTAATGATATGCCTAATATCCCTGGCGTTGAACTGGCCATGTTCGCGGATGACACTGCGCTCTACACATCATCAAGGAAGGAAAGTGCTATAGTCAACCGATTCAGCATGGCAGCGGAGAGGACTATCAGGTACTTTACGAAGTGGAAAATAAGTGTGAAAAGGAGTACGTCTGAAGCCCTACTCTTGAAAGACGTCCAACTGTACACCTTAAAGTTTACCTTAATGGTGAACAAATTAACTGGTCTCCCTTAATGAGGTACCTCGGCTTTCGGCTAGATATTAAGTTAACGTTTACAGCCCACATCAATGAATTAATTCAAAAAGGAAAAAAAACACGTAAAAATACTTTTTCCACTCTTGTGTCGAGAGTCCCAGTTGAGCGTTCATAACAAGTTGCTCATCTACAGAACCATAGTAAGGCCAGTGTTGACATGCGCTGCTTGGGGCTTAACTTGCAACACTAATTATAACAAAGAACTCAAAATAAGTTCCTAAGGTTATACACTAACGGCCCTTTAGTAACCAAGATATATGAACTCCACACAAACTCCGGATTGCGCGAGTTCATAGAGACCAATTGCTTTTTGATAGATGTTCTGGTAACGCCATAAGTTCAAAATATCGGACAAAAACGTTCACCCAGAGCCAAACACAAAACCCTAAGGGACCTCAATGGGAGGCTCAAATATATTAACGCCTAACTTAGTTATTTAATTAATTAATTTATTTTATTTGTTTGTATATTATTTATTTATTTATTCATGTATTTATGTACCGATTTATTTATTTATGTGTGTGTGTGTGTGTGTGTGTGCATGTATGCATATATTATATANTGCGATTCTATTACATTTCATTATATTTTTATTTATTATTTATTTTATTTATTAAATAAACTAGGGACTCATACATAGACTTATTTATTCGTATCACAATAAGAAATATTACTCGTAGGGTTTTTTTTTAATTTCTCCCCAGTAGTGTAATATATATGACTACCAATGCCAACTAAGTTGCCAATTAATGCACTGTGCATACAATTGTATTTTTTTTTTTTTTTTAATTATGCCAGTGGACCATTACAAATGTAAACTCGAAAAGGTTAGTTGGAAGTTAAAAAGCGTTAATTTAAATTTAAAAAGGGTTAATTTGACCGAAAAAAGCAATTATAAGACTACAACTACTTCCCTGCATTTTTATGTTTTTAAGAAACCACCTAAAATTTGAAATCAATGTTATGCTTGATTCATTTTAAAGTAGTATTGCCCGAAAGCTCGTCAATAAAAAAAAATTAATTTAAAAAATCGAGGTTATATCAACCCTCGGGGTGCTGGTGTTTTTGCAAAAAAAAAGTTTGTAATTATGGCGGGTTCGAATGCTGGGCCGCTGGATTCGAACCCGGGATCTTTACCTTAGAGTAATGAGCCCCGTGTCAACGCCTAAACCGTTGCGGCCAACGACGCCCCCTTCACTTTATTATGAACTCATTTATGTTTAGTGGTCTAATTGACCATTTTAATATATTCTTTTTATGTAAGGTCTCAATTGAGATGAAAAAGTCAGCGTCACGAGCGGGGTTCGAACCCACGACCTTCGGCTCAATTTGAACATTAACATTTGAAAACTGGCAAAAAGTGGGAAAATTCGGAAGCTTAGAGGTTGAGACGGGAAGTTGGTGGATCGAAGTCACAATAGCTCAAGTGGTTTTTTTTTTAATTTTTTTTTTTAATTTTTTTTATTATTTTTTTATTGGCCTTATGATCTTGCATATTAGCCATAGTACGAATTCTTTTGTGTTCAAATTGGGGGTTATCGGGAAAAAAGGGCCAGAGGTGACGGTTGGAATCGAACCCACGACCGCGGCGTGAGAGTCTCTCATGCTAACCACTCGGCTACCGCGGTCCCCCAGCTCAAGTGGTTATTGGAGCAGTGGTTTATTGAGCCGAAGGTCTTGGGTTCGAATCCCGCTCGTGACGCTGACTTTTTCATCTCAACCAAGACCTTACGTGAAAAGAATATTTAATTTTATTATAAACCAACTATCAAAAAATTTTACAATTAATATCTAACTACAAAATTGTTATATCATTATTGTTGTGAAATTTTTAACATTTTCCTAATTAGAGGATCATTACGATCAAACTTTACGTATATTTTGATTTTTTCTAGGGAGTAGTTGTGAGACCGAGGAGTTTAACATGTTTCCTCAGATCGAATCGACAACACAGGGTAAGTTTTTTTACTATTCTCGGAAAATAACATAAATTAGACTTTCTAAATTAATGCATTAGTTAATTTATCGCCTGCTTTGCTATCTGATTGTTTTTACATTTTTACGCTTGCACCGTTGTGTCTAATACAAAATACAAATAAATCTAATACAAAAAAATCTAAAATCTAGTTTTTTACGAGATTCTATCTAATTTGTTATGAGATTTGTTATGTTGTGCAAAGATTTCAATAGCTAAAATTTCGGCTCGTAGATCGGGTGCCAATTCGTGCTTCGCCCCGTTCCAATATTTTGTCTGTATAACATAAAATTATAGGTTATTCACCTATTGTCTTGTCTATCCATTGCCCGTGAGCATAAATTTGATCTTGTTTGTTTCGGTGCATCCAACCTTCATTCCGTTTAGCCTATTAGTTTTTAAAAAATTTAATTTCGAGCAACGTGACCGTTGTTTATGCCGTAATTGAGTTGTAAAATTTTTCATCATTAAATTATGTATGTAATACTTTTTTCTTTTACTTTACAGACTCATCAATGAGTCCCTCTCCACGGAAATCTTTAGTAAAAGGCGAAAGATTTATTCGTTATGACTTTTTTCTTTATATATAAGAATTTCGTGTACGTCGATTTTCGATGTAAAAATCTTACCGATAGGATAAATAATTCATGTCTGTTAATGGTTGGCCCAAGGGAGATTTGAACGTTTTTCTGTTCATCGGTTGAAAAAAACATGTTCATAAAAGCCAAACATTTATATCAATATTTCGAGCGTATGACATTTTGCAATGATGCAAACGTATTCCTTTTACTCTACTCCTTACTCGGCCCACCCCTTGTCGTACTGTCATTTCCCAAAAGCGCCCCTCTTTCTACATCTAATCTCTGGCCTCGTATCACCCCCGTGTGATCCGAATGTCAATCAAATTCAGCCGCGGCCTCCTTTTTCCTTCTCTGATTGCGATTTCGGCTTTAACGACCCACCAAAGAACGACCACTTTGTGGCCTGGCACGGCTTAAAATCATTTTTCAAAATTGATCTTCCCCTCTCTCAAGCGTGAGTTTACGACCCGAACTATGCCGCGGGTTTATTGAAAAAAATGAGACTCGGTTTCACAGCAGGTAATTTCTGCGCCAGTTTCTCATAAAATTTAACTTTTAAAAAACTAAATGTATTTATCGTAATCATATTGTATCACACAACTTTTTTTTTCTGAAGCTTTTTCTGAAGCTTCCCGTTTTACATTATATCCGGAACTTGATCATTGGGCTGGCATATGCAGCCTGATTGCGGACCGGTCGTGTGGTCTATCGCTTAGAGAGCTCCGCTGGCTATTTAAATTGAGGTGCGAGTTGCTATTCTTAAATTACACTCCATGGATGGAAAAAGTAGTTGAATTGTGCCCTCTGTGTAATTCCAGAGCGGTGGAAAACACATTTCATTTTGTCGCCGAATGTTCGATTCTGGCTGAGATTCGCGACGAGGCTGACCAGACTCGCGCTCATAGCAATGTTAAATGATGGCCGTCTGTGTCGTCCTCTCATCAGATTTGCTTTGCATGCTTGGACTTACAGATTCGAGCTAGTCCAACACTTTAATTATTAATGTTTTACAATATCTCTTTATTTTGTTAGCTTTTATTATTACTATTTCTTCGATTTTCTTTTCTAGTATTGCTTTATTTTTATTGTTTTTGATTTATACATTTATTTTTTATTTTATTTAATTTAATCGCAGTATTTTATAGTATGTTCATAGATTAATTTAATTTAATTATTTCATGTATTTTTATTATTATTATTCTGTGTTTGCTCATATCAGCTCCGGCTGACGGACTGCTGTCCATGCTGTAAAGTATTTTGTAACATATTTTGAGTTTGTTGTATTCCATGTACATAAATACTATTATTTATTCATTCATTCATTGTATCACACAAATATATATATATATATATATATGTTTTGTAGGAAAATAACCTCTTCTCTCTGTTTCTTCCTCACCCTCTATCTCTCGCTTTCTCTCTCTCTCTCTCACTTTCTCTCTCTCTCTCTCTCTCTCTCTCTAACGCTCTCTCTTTTCTCTCTCTCACTCTCTCTTTTCTCTCTCTCACTCTCTCTCTTCTCTCTCTCTCTCTCACTCTCACTCTCACTCTCTCTCTTTTCTCTTTCTCTTCTCTCTCTCTCTCACTCTCACTCTCTCTCTCTCACTCTCACTCTCTCTCTTTTCTCTCACTCTCTCTCTTTTCTCTCTCTCACCTCTCTTTTCTCTCTCTCTTCTCTCTCTCTCTCTCTCTCTATCTATCTATCTATCTATCTATCTCTCTCTCTGTTAAATATAATGTCAAAATCAGTGTGTACAGTAATAAATAGTATATCATCTAAATCTATAGGCCCCGATCAAATATCTATGCTTTGTTAAAACTAATCAATTCTGAGTTGTGTATTGAGTTATATTTATAACTATTCATTGCAATTAGGAATTTATCCTGAAAAATGGAAACAATCTTTCATAGACCCTTTAATTAAACAGACACCTCCAGTTGATTGCTCCTCATACAGACCTATAAATATAATCTGTTGATTAGGTAAAATATTTGATAAATTGGTTTTTCAGCAAATTTATTCTTATCTTGAAATAAATAACTTAATTAATGAACATAATGAATGGTTATAGATCAGCAGTACAGAAACAGCATTAATAATGCTAACCCAAGAAATGAGACAAAATATTGATGACAGCAATCTAACAATTATGGTGCGTGTTGATTTTAGCCATACATTGTATATACATATATATATATATATATATATATATATATATTGGGTTGTCCGGAAAATAATGCAGGATTTTAAGTTTTCATTAAAAAAAATCTATATAAAATATTCTGTTTACGTTTACAGGATTACTCATTTGTATGAATGTCAACACTTATTAATCCTCTTCCAAATGATATTGTTTGTTTACCTCTGTAGCATTCCGCTACTTG